GTCTATTTATAGAAGAGATGGTGACTGTTTGGGACAAAAATGAATAGACATGGAACCTATTCGAGTTGGAGGAAAACTAAGACGAAACTGCCAACGTTGGGTTCAATTAGGAAATAATTTTGAATTTCGAATAGAAATTTAAATTCCAAATGGTAGGAATTTAATTTTAAAAAATTAATTTTGAATTTCAAACAAAAATTTAAATTCCAATTGATAGGAATTTAATTTTAAAAAAATTAAAATTCAAAAGCTTTTGATCCAAAAAGATAAGTATTAGGTTGGAAAACACTAAGCCCAACCCAACCTTGCACTTGTGCCCAAGCTCGGTTTGGGTGATTGTGGTGTGCGTACATGGTTGTTTTTTAGTCCAATGGGTCAAAGCCCACTTTATCCATAACCGGTCCTTCCACAAAATATGGTTTTGAGCAACTAAATACCCCTTCCCCACCCCCAAGCTCGATTTGGGTGATTGTGGTGGGCATGCGTGCGTGGTTGTTTTTTAGTCCTATGCGTCAAAGCCCACTTTATCCATAACCGGACCTTCCACAGAACATGATTTTGAGCAACTAAATGTGCCCCCCCAAAAAAAAAAAAAAAACCATTTCTAACAGTTCAGTGGGTAGAACCAAACTGCGAACCTTACTAGAAGGTCAATACTTTGAAATCTTAGGGTTGTTTTGTTTGTGGGGGTTAAAATGAAAATCTTGTTTGTATTATATGAAAAAAGATGAACAAATTACCTAGCTATCTCACGTATTTAGAGTAATATAACATATAGGGATGGTTTTGCTTTTTTGTCTAGAAAAAACTTGAGGTGGTTTAGTGAAGTGTATGAACATGAAATCCGATGATGTAGATCTGTTTCTTGCAAAGTTGAGCACCATTAGGATTGCCTGACTAGGTTATTCGGTTGAAGAACACTCTGATGTTCAAGTGAATGATAAGTTGGGAGAGCAAGTAATAGTGGCAACTTGAGCGTATAATATTGAATAGTTGGCCTTTTGGAGGTGGTAAAATTCTCCTTGGTAATAATAGTAGTATTTGGTTTAACTTACAAAAAAAAATTCTTTCAACAAAGATGTAAATTAGGAAGTATAGGTCGACAAAATATGAATAGAAGGCTGGTCCTTGATATATCTCAGAACAATACATTTTTGTTATTGCGATATATATGGGCAGCCGCGAATCATTTGATTGGAATGAAATTTGGAATGGATACACTTGGTGATATGAATAATTTGAAAAATAAACATATTCGTTTTGTAGCGGATCTTTTTCAAGATCAACTTGGATTGGTTCATTAAGAAAATGTGGTTCCAGGAACTATATATGGAGCAATTAGACATAAATTGATACCTACAACTCAGAATTTAAAACAAACTTTTCCTTTCCTAATTTGTCAACGTTTTCTATTAGATAACCTTCTTAAAATCAAATGATTTAGTATGTTTGGGGTAACTGGGTCAACCTGGACTATTTTAAGGTCTAGTGGTCGACTATATTTTGGGGGTAACGCGTGTGTGTTTATGGGTAGACCGTGTTGCTTATGAAAAAGAGTGTGAAATTGGATGAGAGGTGAGAGGTACAGAAAAAAGAATTATTGAGTAACTTTGAAATACGGTTATGTAATATATTATAATTTTATATTGAGTGATTAAAAAATATAATAAATAATAATTATTAAAAATATATCAACACCTGATATTTTAAGAATACTTAATAATTTTCCTAACGATTCGCTCTCTCATATTTCTTCATTCCTTCTACATTTTCAATTGGATAATGGGATAAAAATGCGTGCACCAAAATAGTAATAATAATAATAATAATAATATAATTTTGATTTCTCACATTTATTCACAGTTATATATTAGTCATTTCGGTGATTCTAATAATATTGTAAAAATTGGTTTAGTTTCTCTAAATTATTTTGGTAAATTATATCGTTAATTTTTATAATTTAAGTGAAATGTCATTTTAATCATTGTAATTTCAATTTGAATAATTTGAACCATACGTTTTCAATTTTATTACAATATGATTCTTTCGTTATGTGTCATTAACATTTTAAACAAAAAAAGGCGACGTGCAAAATTAGAAGGATCAAAGTGAACTTAAAAATATATATAAGGACTATTAGTTTAATTTTTTTATTACACTAGTGGTCTCTATAGTTATTTTTGAATTTCACTTTGATTCTTCTAATTTTGCATGTGCTTTTTTTTAAAAAAGATTTTAACAATAAGTGATGGAGGAATCACATTGCAACGAAACTAAAAGTGTACGGTTTAAATTGAAACTACGAGGACTAAAGTGATATCATTAAAACTAGATAGATCAATGATGAAATTTATCCAATTTATTTTTAAGTTATATATATTTTTACTGATTTTTTTTTCTTTTTATTTTAGTCTTTTGTTTATATAATTTGTAGATATACTTGAAAAGTAAAATATTTATGAAAAAAAAAAGTTTATTAAAAAAAATATGAATAATAGTTTTCAAAAAGTAAACTAAACAAAATGTAAATATGTAGTCAGAATTGTGTGATTAAAATTATATTGAAGATTAAAGGATAAGGAAATTTAAAAAATGGAGAATTCCTAGTTAAATTGTAGATTTAGGTACTCAAAATTTTATTCAAAAGGAAAAAAAGTTCACTTTATTCATTTAAACTATATAACACTTGTGCTATTTTCTTCCATGAATCATCAATTTGAACAATTATCTCTTTAAATTATCAACATTAGTTCACATCATTTCAAACCGGTAACAGAGTTAATAATTTTTAAAAATTATCCTGGATGCGAGCACACAAAAATATTTGTACATATGATTTACTTAATTTGGTTGTATCTAGAAGCAATTGGTTGTTATAATTGTTTACATTTTGCGTTTTATTGATTATTTTCAAAGTAATTAGTTGTGTGTTATTAAATTTATAAATTATAAATTTTGATTTTGAATTAAAAATATATACAGTGTTTGTCAATCAAGTGATAATGGTTTTTCCAAACTCAAGATCTTAGATTTAAATCTTGTGTACTTCACTTTATAATTTTTTTCTCTTTTTGATATTAAAAAATTTACTTGACAAAAGCAGACAGTAGATTTTCAAGAAATTAAAGTGAGTTGTTCACATATATTATAGTATAAATATACCTCCTTCTGTCTTTCTTATTGTGGCAATAAATAAGTTAATTCTCTCAATTAATCATTTGTTTGTTCACAAGTGAGATATTCTATAGAAAATATTAATTTCGTTAATAATTTTATGATAAAATAAACTAATATCAAATAATTGTTCAAAGCTCTCGAAGTAAAGTGATGCAGGTATGAAATAAAGTGATACAGTTTGATATTTTGAAAAGTAGAGTGACTTTTGTGGTTAAAATTTATTGTAACTGTGTATCGCACTGTGAATCTGAATAAAACATAATTGAATAATATTTTGTAAGAAAAATTACAATTCAATGTATTTTTGAAAAAAAATAAAAATAAATTAGTAGTAAACTCTACAAATATTACTAATTAAAGTCATAATATTTTTCATCAATCTGTAAATATTTTGTGAAACTATTGGCAATATGTAATTTTTCCTAATTTTAAAGGTAAAATCTAAATCTTGAGTAATAAGTAGAAAGTGAAGATTAATTAATAGGGGAAATTTCATATCAAGGTAAAGTTTACAAAATAATTACAAATAAGTGGCAAAATTTATAAATATTAATAATTAAAATTATTTTTTTTATTTATAAATATGTAGTAATAACCTTTTCCTAATTAAAGTAGTAGTAATTTACTGCATGCCATAAAAAAGAATTCACTGCAGGAATAAGCCCCTCTCCATATTTCATCTCTCTATATATTTCTCCATATTCTTTTTATAGGTTTCAATCCTAATCCGCATTGATGATCTAAATCGTCTATCTCATAAGTCCCATAATGAAAGTCATCCATATAAAAAATTAGTTTTATCGAATAACTATAAACACATGAACAATCACATTTTATTTTATAAAATTGATAGTTTAAGTTTAATTATATTTACCATTCATTTTATAAAATAAAATGTGATTTATTTTTATATTAATAATTATCAGATATAATTAATTTTTTATATAAATGAACTTTATTAATAAATTTACAAAAATAGAGGATTCAAATTATTAATAGGAGTTTAAATTAAAACCTAATATATATATATATATATATAATAGACAGATGAGATACGGAGAGTACTTATCCCTTTACTGCAAGCCAAACAGTGATGGGCTATGCCATTTATTTTAGAAAATAGGCAATTAAAACGTTACAATACTACTACCAATCACCGTGCCTCTGTTTTTGTTACCAATTGTTTTTTGTCTTTTTGGTAGTATACACACAAATTGTAAGTTTATGTTACTAAATAAATAAGTAAAATTCTAGTGATAATAAAGTAATGGGCCAAACTTTTTTTTCCAGTTTGAGATTAGATGGGAATCCTCTCTTTTACCCCCTCATTACTTTTTTTTTTCCCTTCCATCTCACTAGTACTCTATTTAGAACTCTCAAATTAAAAATATATATTATTATTCTAGATCAGAATATACTGTTGAATTTGTAAGACTTATTACAAATTTTGTTTTAATAATTTGAACTGTTTAATGCGTACAACTCATTGAATATTTCATTGTTATAAAAAAAAATAACGGTAATTGAATATTGATAACTATTTGATTAAATGATATTTCTGTCAACTATAAATATAATTTTGAAAATAAATTATTAATAAAAATATGATCCAATCAAATAATTATTATTATCTAATTAACATAATTTTTTAAAAAAAAATCATCAATGAATTCTATACATTAAATAACTCCAATAAGAAATTAAATTTTTTTTTTATTTGTAATTTCGTTTGTTTTGTAACAGCTGTGACCATTGTAGCATTACGTAAGTTCACTCCCCCCTTTCAGTCTTCTTCCCACAAATCTCCTAAATTCTCATGTGTGAACTCTCCCTCTCTCTCTCTCTCCTCTCTGTCTACTCTCTCTCCTCTGTTTGTGTGCTGCCCGTCATTAAGAAACTATGGGTAAAAGGCCCGGTCGGTCGCAAATGGGTCTCTTTGTCTCTCCTCCCTCCCCCCTTTCTCTCTATTAAAACCCCCCTCATCTCCCATTTTCCATTCCTCATCATTCTCTGTCTCTCTCTCTCTCTCTCTCTCTCTCTCTCTCTCTCTCTCTCTCTCTCTCTATACATGTATATACATTCACTCACACACAATAATACCCAGTCTCACATCCAATCTTCTTCTTCCCCCATATTCATCACTCCCACATTCCATCTCTCTCTCTCTCTCTCTCTCTCTCACTCTATATATACATTTATAGCAAGTCCAAGAGGTGAGTCACCACCACCAATACAAAACAATGAGTAGTGAGTCAAGCACAAACTCCTCATTCTCACCATCTCCATCATCACCATCATCGTCTTCCGGGTTAAACCCACCAACCAAATCATCAGACCCGACCCAGAAACAACGACCCAACAAGAGGAGCAGAGATAGCAACAACAGCAAACACCCAATCTACAGAGGGGTCCGAATGCGGGCATGGGGCAAATGGGTTTCCGAAATCAGAGAGCCCCGAAAGAAGTCCCGGATCTGGCTCGGAACCTTCTCCACCCCTGAAATGGCAGCCCGAGCCCACGACGTCGCCGCCCTCTCTATCAAGGGCACCTCCGCCATCCTCAACTTTCCCCAACTCGCCCAGGTCCTCCCCCGACCCGCAACGTGCTCTGCACGTGACGTCCAAGCCGCCGCCGCCAAAGCCGCCTCCATGGACCACCTCAGCCCCTCCTCTTCCTCCTCCGCCGCTACGCCGTCGTCATCTTCGTCGTCGGAGGCGCCGGAGGAGCTGACCGAGATTGTGGAGTTGCCGAGTTTGGGAACGAGTTACGAGTACGAGTTGGCTGAGTCGAGGGACGATTTTGTGTTCATGGACTCGGGGGCGGTGGACGGGTGGATCTACCCGCCCCAGTGGTTGCACGACGATTATGGGTATTTCGGGTCGGATCCGATGGCAATGACAGAGGACAGTAGTGTAATTTCGGGCAGTTTCGAGACTTTTTTGTGGCAACATTAATAAATAAAATAAATAATGCTTAATGCTGCTGGTGAGCTGAGAAATATAGGGGTGTGTTGTGAGAGTTTTTTTTGTTTTTATGGTTTTTTAAACTTTTTTTTTTTTTTTTTAAATTTATCATTTGTAGCCCTTTTGACCTGTTTTTTGTGTGTCTCTCTTTGATGAAAGGGGGCTAAAATTACAAACCTTTCTCTTCTCTTTTCTTGTTTTTGTGTTATGTTGTGTATGATGATGATGATGATGATGATGATGATGATGATAAGTGGAAAGTGAGAAATCTACCATGAACTCATTTGATAGTCATTGACCCCATGCTCCCCTAAAAAAGGAATACTTTTTTTTTTTCTATTTTTAATTTTAATTTTTTTTTATTATCGAGAGATTAGACATTGACTAAAGTTTAAGTGGTGTTTTGAGAAGTTGGTAAAAAGTTAATTTTTTGATTTTTTTAGAAAAAAAATTGGATTATTTTGGGTAAAAAAAGTTAACTTTTTTGGTTAAAAAAAACTGAAAAATCAACAAATTGACTTTTTACTGTATTTTTTACTTCTTATGAGAATTGAACATGATTATTTGGAACGCAATGAAACTTTTTTCTTTTTTGGTAAACAAATTTCGCAATAAAAATTACCCCTTAATTATTGGGCTACTTGTGCCATTTTTTTACTGTCTTTTAATTTTCTTTTTTAAATGACATAATAATTAAACAGGTTAAAGTCAGATTTTGTCCGGTCTCTCTTCCTCCCTTATTTTTTGTTTGACCATATGCATGATTAATTTTTATTAATTAAACCTCCATTCTTTTATATTAGCTTATCATTTGATGACTTTGTGACTTTGTTAAATGGGGTTCCTAATCTCAAGACATTCCTATACTTTTTTTTAATTTTTTTTATACATAATCTTGGATTTAATAATTAACAACAAATTACACTGAGTGGTAAACATTAGAGTGCCAAAGTTTAAGTTTGCTCGTAATTTATTCATGCCAACCACATTTTAACATCTTTATTAGATGTGCTCTAATGTAAGTGCATTGTGTGGCTCTAAGAGCATCTTCAAGGGAATAGTTAAATAAGATTTGTTAGGCATTTTAGTCAATATAAGTCTAATTTTGAGCTCCAATGGGCTAGCTATTGGGCTAGCTACTTTACCATCCTATTTTTTTGGTGGCTACGATTGAAGAGCCCTAGAGGCTCTCCAAACAATTATGTATGTATATATTTTAGATTTTTATATATTTTATATATGTGTGTGTGTGTGTATGTAGCAATTTTATATGTTCTTTCAATTCTGTTTGATGAATTATGGAATAACTTATTTTGTATTTTGTATTTTTTTTTCTCCTCATTCTACAAGTTTTGTATGTTTGTATGGGCAAATTTATTATTATTGCAAATTTATATTAGTAAAATATCAACAATTAGTATTTTTTTATTTTAAAAATTAATTAAGTTAGTTTAAAGGGTGAATTACACTAATAGTCCCTATAGTTTGGGGTTTGTGTCACTTTGATCCCTGATTTTTCAATATTGACACATTTGACCCTAAATTTTGAATCTTGTTCTAAATAAGAACAATTGAAGATATCATTACATTTTCCAAGGGCAAAATCGTCAATTTGATAAAATATAAACTAATTTGACAAAAATAAATGTCGAACAAATATTTTTGAATTTTTAAAAATTATTTTTACCCACTAAAAATAAAATTATGTAAAATTGATAAATCTTTTAGACATTTATTTATTTTTTTACCAAATTAATTTTTATTATATGTTTGGATGATGATCATGTAATATTAATTTTTAAAAATTAATCATGTAATTTTTATTAATTTTTATCAATTTTACATAATTTTATCATTGGTGGATAAAAATAATTTTTAAAAAATTTAAAATCTTTTTTTGACATTTATTTTTGTCAAATTAGTTTATATTTTATTAAATTGACGATTTTGCCCTTGAAATTAAACAATGGTATCTTCAATTGTCCTTATTTGGAACAAAATTTAAAATTTAGGATCAAATATATCACAATTAAAAAGTCAGGCACCAAAGTGACACGAGTCCCAAACTATAGGGATTGTTAGTGTAATTTGTCATAGTTTAAATGATTAGCTAAAATAAAGAGCGTGGTTGGAGAACACAATAGCTAAAGTAATTAGGTAAAATAAATAGTGTATTTTTTTTGTACTTTAACTAGTAAAAAGTAGAGAGTGTGGTTGAAGTTACTCTAATACTGTTATAATTTTTCATGAAATTTAGACACTGTTGATATCTCATTGTCAGGGTCTCGTTTGGGAATAGGCTCCTCGTTTAGAAACAGGTTAATTTAGTAACTTTTTGGCTATTTGGTTAAAATATGAGCTAAAAAAAACTAGTATATTTGGGATGACTTTTTGACTTTTTACGAAAAGATGTACAAAAAGTAGAGAGAAAAGAGAATCTTTGGCTTTTTGGTATGGGTTGTTGGCTTTTTGACTAATTTAGTAACTTTTTGACTTTTTAGCTAAAAGTGATGGTTCCCAAACGAGGCCTAATTTAGTAATTTTTTGGCTATTTGACTAAAATATGAGCTAAAAAAACTAATATGTTTGAGATGACTTTTTGACTTTTTACGAAAAGATGTGCAAAAAGTATAGAGAAAAAAGAATCTTTGACTTTTTAATATGTGTTGTTGACTTTTTGACTTTTTTAATAATTTTTTAACTAAATCCGCATGTTGCCAAACAAGAAAAGAGAATCTTTAACACTATGTTCCTTTTAGTCCTTTATAGAGAAATTGGAGGTAAAAAATAAAAATAAAAGATGTTGCCTCTATTGTTAAAGTTATAGTAACTCAAAAAGTGACAAACCATGGGTAAGACAAGCCTAGTAAGATTCTCTACTGAAGAAGTGGCAGGGATATGTTTTGTAGGAAAAAGTTGTGGTAAAAATGGTTCAATAATTCCTTTGAAAAGGCACACCTGATATTGACAAAATTAATTCCTTCAAAATCATAGAACAATTGTATTCCAATGAGTGATTTTTGCGTGTTGGAAATGCAAGTCATATGGCACTCTCATCTCTTTTTTGTCTTTTTCTTTTTATGGTTTTCACAATGAGTTTGTAATTTTTATGTTAATAATTGGGAGACAATATAAAATATCAAGATTGGTGAAAAGTTTCATTTAACAGTTTTACATTCCCAGCATCCAAAACCTTTTTATGTTTCAATTAATAAAATAATATGAAATTACATATTAATGACTGTGTGGGTGAAAATCTGACCACACTGCCCGTTTAGTGATCAGCTGGAAAGCACAAGCAGAATAGATGGCTTAAGCAACCTGAAACAGAAAGAAAGAAGCTCCGGCGGTGGTTCTTCCACCCGGGGGCACTCCGACGATCAAGTCAGTATATCTCTCAAAGATAATCAAGTATTAAATTGAATACTCAAAGTACAAGTTACATACCTTAGACCCACGGGGTGCCTCTCTTTTATAATATACTCAATCCAAGTCCTACTAGAAGTATGACTTCTATGAATTCCAATTTACTGTTTACTCTGGACTCTATAAGAGATAAAGATAAGACTCCCAAAGAGCTTTATCCTTATCTTGGTTAAGTCCCCTCTTTGCCTTAGGACTCTTGTCCCTTATCTGCTTATCTCGGATTCCGATATCTTCAGGGATAACCTCGACAACTCCGAGATCATCTCGGCTTAACTACCAGGACACGTGGCACCTCGGCTGACACGTCGGCGTCACCATGCCACGTGTTGGTATTCAGAAAATACATCCCCACAAAAAATAACCCCATTTGTGTGTAATATTGTGGTGTGTTAGACCAAAAAAATAAAACTACAATGCAGCGTTTTGTTTTTTAGCAGTGCTAACACAGTGAAAGCCCCTCAAAATAGTTGTTTTGCAAAATAAAACTTTCTATTTGCAAAATGTTTGTATTTGGCTGTTTTAAAAATTAAAAATTAGTTGATAAAAAAATAAATATAAAAAATGATATTTTTTAAAATTATTTGTTTCTCAAAAAATTAAAATTATAAAAAAATAATGAGTTTTTTTTTATCAAACTAATTTTTTAATTTTTTTTCTAAAAAATAAATTCTAAAAATTCAACCAAATTAAATATGTATTTTAACAAACCCAAATCAAAATTCTATCTGAACAAGTATGGGTCGTTGAGATATGGGTTGAAGATTTTAATAGCTCTTTGGGTCTCCTCAATGCAAGTCCATTAGTGTTTCTATACGTAATTTACATTTTTTTTTTCTGTTATGTTGTTACAAAAAGAAAAAAAAAAATATACAAAAAATAAGAGGAATGATGTGAAGTGGTAAAATAAAAAGAAAATAAAACGGACATTTTGGTCTCATTATAAAAATATTTATTGAGTTGAGATAACTTTTAAATTATTTAGAGTGCTGCTATTTGTTCTTCTCTTTTTACTTTGTCCCCTACTTCTTTGAACCCCCATCTAGGGATATAATCAATTCGGTATGATCGGTATTTAAGTAAAAAATTATACCGAACCGATAATATCGGTTTTATTATTTTGAACACCGATATAGACCACTTCTCCGATCAAATTGCACCGAACCGAACCGATTTAATCGATTTGGTGCGATTTAATCGGTTTGGGATTTTTGAAACTTAAGCCACTTTTAAATATAATCATTAATCTATATAAAAACATTAAATTAAATTATTTGTCTGCCAATTCAAACATTCATCCAGTTAATACATACTTTTCAATTCCTAAATTAACAAAAATTAAAAAAAAAATGTTTAAAAATAATAAGGTTTCAAGAATGATGAGTTAGAGTTAAGATTATATATAATAAAAATTGACAAACTTAGGCTATAAAAATGATAATGTTAATTAATTAAGGTTAATAATTTATTATACTTATTGATATCATTATATTATTAGATTATATATATATATAAAAAAAATAAATACAATATATGTTGAAGTTGTTGGTTTCGGTTTAGATCGGTGCACAAGGTATTTAAATCGATACTAAATCGAAAATTAAAAAAATTCAAATTTAAAAATCGTACAGACCGATTCTTGTTAAAAAACAAACCAAATATAATCAGTTTGGTCCGGTTTAATCAGTCTGGTCAGTTTTTTCAATTTTTCTTACATCCCTACCCCCATCCACCAAAATGAAACTTTTTCATTTTCTCTTTCAATCCCCACC